GTAGTACTTTTATACTAGAACTAATGATAACACAAATTTATAAAAGTACTACATCTATATGCAATAGAACTAATGATAACACAAATTACATATATATGGAGTACTTGTATAATAGAACTAATGATAACACAAATTACATATATATGGAGTACTTTTATAATAGAACTAATGATAACACAAATTACATATATATGGAGTACTTGTATAATAGAACTAATGATAACACAAATTACATATATATGGAGTACTTGTATAATAGAACTAATGACAACAGAGGTGACATACAGATGGAGTACTTTTATACTGGAAATAATGACATTGATATATATATATATGGAGTATTTTTATACTAGAACTACTGATAACATGGATGAAACATACATGGGATCATTTCTGTAAGAACATTAAGTTTTTTTATAGTATATACACAATATATGTATACATATGTGAGAGATGTAAATCATTTGACCATTTTATTTCTTTCTTTAAAATCTAAAATCTCCAACACAGCATTACTAAGACATTGTAGTTGGCTATGAACAATAGGAATATTTGTATATACTATCGAACAAAGTGTGGCATATGCTTTTTACCCACATGCACATCTGCTATCTTAGGTGGTTCAGCAAAACAAGTTATCAATGAATTCACCCAGAACTTACATGTGCACGTGTCATATAACTGAAGTATTTATAGCTTCCCATAGATGAACTAGAAGTCTTATGATGTAGATAACAACTAACAATATGTCATAAACTGCAGTGCTGAGTCAAGTTTGTTTCTTACTTTAAAGTGTAAGTTCTTTTAAAAACAAAGTAGTTATGACTGTTAATCGGGTGCTTGAGATGTTCATAAAAGTATGACATCAATCAGAAAACCTGTATAAACCTGCAAATGTTTCTCAGATACTTTTCATGTACATCTCTGCACTCTTCAGTACGACACAGAAAAACTCACAACCCACATGTAAATCCCAATGCAAAAGTTGAGAAAATCATTGAACAATATTGTTAATAATGAAATATTAATTTAACTCTTATAATACTGTTTAATTTATATTTTTAATATTTCAATTTAGATGTTTATTTGCTAAAAGGCAGGCACATTATGCAATATATAGAGACTTCATTAAAGTTAAGGCTGTTGTAGAATCTAGAAATTTTATGCAGTATATAAAAACAATATAAATACCAGAATCATTGATTAGTCAGTCAATAAGAGAAGCAATGAATTAATGAGTAATCAACCAATCATTTAGTTAGCTTAGTGCCTGCTAAACATTGTTATTGCATCTGTGAATCAGTTAGACAGTAAGGGTTATTGCATTTGTGACTAAAATTTTGAAAGTACGTTTATTTGTGAGTTGGGCATAAGTTAGTTTTCAGAAGTTTAGTTGAATGTTATTTGAATGATTGCATTTGAAATTAGGCTTACAGGTTAACATAGCTTAGACTAGATTTTTTCACCAAGTCATCCGAAAAGAATCCATCAAATGACAAAACAAATTATAACAATTTCATGTAGAATCCCATACTAATTTTATACATAATGAAAATTGGTTTGAGAAAACTATATTAAGATTAAAACTATTTTAACAATTCTGCTTGCAGAATCATTCATTATTATCAAGCAAACTATGAACTCTTTTGCTGCCAATTTTTTGATAAACAGCTTTCCGAGTGTCAGGTTTATTTTTAGTTACACACAGAAACACATGATGCTATTACTTATTTGTTTGTTTGTTTTGAATTTCACGCAAAGACCCACCACCAACTCTTGGGCTACTCTTTTACCAATGAACAGTGGGATTGACCCTCACATTATAACACCCCCACGGCTGAAAGGGTGAGCATTTTAGGTGTGACGGGGATTCGAAACCGCGACCCTCAGATTGTGAGTCGAGCACCCTAACCACCTGCCCATGCCGGGCCATTATTACTTATAACTTGTCATATCAACATGTCATATTGCTTCTAGCAATAATTATCAAAATGTTTTATAGATGATTAAACTCTCAAATTGTAAGAAATATTAATTAAAATAATTATTTGGATCATTTATTTCAAAAACATGCAGATTAATATTCAACTTTATGATTATTTTTAATTAATTATAAAATTATGGATTTTATTGCATACCAATTTCTCACAACATTTACCTAATATCACACTTTATAAAGTTAAAACAAAGGTTAAAAATACACTGTGTTCCATACGTGTGCCCGTGTTAAACGAAAGACTTTACATGCACAGAAGAAAAAAATCAATACCATTTAAACTCTAAAACAGTTAGATATATAATCTACTCATTGATAACCTGTTGAGGTAATCCAGCTAATGCAGCTAGAGCTAGACCCTGTGGAATAACAGTCAGAGCTACAGTCACACCAGCAATTACATCCCCCTTAAGATCAGCCAATGAGTAATGAGGAAGCCATGTGGTGATTGGAAATCTTCGACGAAGAGCTCTGATGGAACAGAATCGTTGTTGGCATTTAGTACAACATTCTTTTACATCAAAAGTATCTTCTTCTTCTTCTGACAAGATATCAGCAATTTCCTCTAAAACAGAGGTACAATATCTTCATTAGAATCAAATAGTTTATAAAAAATATATACATTAATTTAAATTATGAGCAATAAATATCAGGTAGTATTGTATAGAATTTACTTTTTATGAGTTTGGACATTCTTCAGAAATTTAGAAAATTTCTTATACATAAAATCATGAAACCCCTGAAAATGTTTCTAATAAATAACTATAGTTGAAAACTTTCATGTACATTATAAACATTATAGCATGAACCAAGTATACCCACATTCAAATATATAGGTGTTGTAAGGTATGATGCAAACAAATGTAGTCGTTGTCTTCAGATGTCATCATATTGGAATGCATGACATAGTTAAATAATGTCATCAATGAACTTATTTAGCTTGCCTAGCAGCTCAGTTACTTGTAGTAGAGCATAGCTTTGAAAGACACATACATAGATAGATACATAATCGTACATATAGTGTTATTGGTACTTCACTCATATATAGTAAAAAACCCTGCTTCAACACATTAGACAACTTATTGAATTTATACATTAGAACTACTTTACTGTGTAGTAATTGGTTTAATTTAAAAGTGTAGAAGAGCATTTAAATCATCATAGTCAACTTCTTATCAGTTCCTGATTTTTTTCTCTGATCATTTTATATATATCTGCCAAAAACACAGTAATAACTTGAAAACTAGAATTTAAATACAACGTACTGTTATTACCTGTATGTAAACACTGGTACTCATTATAAACAAGTCTCTCCAAGCTGTATGCTAGATAAGCATAGTTATCCATTTATTTACACTTTACAATACTTGAATTCTTCAATGGCTCAACACTAAAAGATCTCAATGGCTTTTATACAACTTTAACACTAAACATCATACAGACATAGTACAAGCAAAACTGCAACTTGCAATGCAACCTAGAAATAAGTTAGCTGCTAACTACCCTCCAAACCTATGCTTCATACCTCCCAACTTTCTACTTTCTCCTAGCCTCCTTTGAACTATAATAACATGAAGTTAAAGATAAGATAAGGAGACAGAATCTCTTTGCTCATATACAGTAACCAAACAAACACCTTACTTTAACAGACAATGTTCTTTGATCTTCACAGTCCACATACAGCACTCCTACATCATAGAAGCAACCTCTGGGTGTACAGCATGTTCAGCAGAAAAGTAATTAAGATTCTTTAACTGGTGTACTTAAAAAAAAACAAAGTGATCTAGTGGGATCCAATAGCACTTGATTAAAACTCCAGTCAAAGCAGATTTCTTAACATCTAAATTTTCTGGTTCCATTGCTATATAGATCCACACATAACATGCAAGATAGGAAACAAAACTAAACATTTTTCTCATGCAAATCTTTTGTGCTGAAATTTGAAAATATTGGAACAACCAATAGCTCTGGGCAAAGATCTGTTACAGCTGCCACATGGTGTTGAAATAGTTCTAAGTTTGTCTGATGATTCAAGCAAGTAATGTGTCTCTTTAATAATTTTCAATAATAAATCACTTAAATAATTTTTGTTTGAGTTCAAAGATGTTTTAGTATAATAATAATTTTATGATTTTTAAAACATGAACAAAATTAACTTAAAAAAACAACAACATATTTAGGTGTTTCATTCTCCAGTCAACTACAGTTTTAGCCTCTTGATATTCCCAAATTAAACTTGAATCAAGTTCTACCACAGCACTCATAGATGAGTTTTTGATTACGTTAAGTCATCTAAAATGTTTAACAAATATCCATTTCTACAAATTGAGTAATTTAAAATCATAATCATGATACTGCAGTTTGGTTAAAACTGACCAAAATTTAAAACAGTTGTTGTAAGGTGTGATGCAATTCAAATTTCATCATACTGGAATGCATGACATAGTTAAATAATTTAATTATGTCAGTAAAACACGTAGGTTCAAGAAGTCTTGATACCTATAAGGTTATAGGGTTATCAATGAACTTGTTTAGCTTCCCTAGCACCTCAGTTACTTGTAGTAGAGCATAGCTTTGGAACATGTGTGTGAGAAAACGAGCCCTGGATTCAAATACGAGTCTCAACAGATTTCTTAAGACTTTGTTCTCATAGTCCACATTACAACACTGATCTTCGTTTAATATTACATAGGATAAATAATTCAGAACCACAATCAGACAGATCAATACATGTGTGTACATCACAACTAGCCTCTCCAGGTATCAGTACACACATGAATATCACATCTAGCCTCTCCAGGTATCAATACACACACATGAACATCACAGCTAGCCTCTCCAGGTATCAATACACACACATGAACATCACAGCTAGCCTCTCCAGGTATCAATACACACACATGAACATCACAACTAGCCTCTCCAGGTTATCAATACACTCATGAACATCACACCTAGCCTCTCCAAACATTAATACATGTGTATATCATAGCTAGCCTCTCCAGGCATCAATACACGTGTGTATCATAGCTAGCCTCTACAAGCATCGACACGTGCACATTACAACTAGCCTCTCCAGGTATCAATACACTCATGAACATCACAGCTAGCCTCTCCAAACATCAATAAACACATGTAATAAAAACCTATGAGTTATAGTGAAATAGTTACAAAGTTCTGTATTGTTTGCCATGTACATGTTTTTTTCTGCTGCCTATCATTACACTTACATGTATACTTGTTGCATGACAGGTGCACAACACTGATCTTGTGAAATGTACTATTTATAAGTATAGGTTGACACCCAAGGTACAACTAAGTCATAAAAATAATCTCACACTACAGTGACTATAACATCTCTATTGCCTTCCAGTTCTACACTTTGTCAAGTGTATTAATATTAACCTAGTCTGAAAAGAAGTGTGTTCTAACGTTGAAAAACTCCATTTGGTCTACAGGAAAAGCTAAACAAATATTTTGAAGTGCACTGTGCAAACATAACAATTATGTATCTATGTTCATAACAAAAGGTTAATGCTTTGTAAGTTTATTAAGTACTTATAGTTAAGGAAAAGCTTATGCTCAAAATATTCTCATTCATTAGTACTGAATATTCAAAACAGATTCATACTTTTCTGAATGTTTCCAACTTTATTGTTAAAAAAAAACAAACAATTCAACAATTTAAAAGTTTAATATTATGTGAATATTATTTTCTGTTATCAATATAAGGTATCATTTCTTGGATTTTTTACAAACAATAGAAAGCCACTGATAGTCACAAAATGAAATATTAATACAGTCAAACTATAGTCTGTATACTAGTTAGCACTGTGTGCCCTGTATTGAATTTGTATGTAATGCAAAAATATCACTGCATTGACCAGAAAGTGATTTTGTGCTTGAAAAATTACTAGTTCAGCACTCCTGTTGTGTGCTTAAAAAAAAGGAGACAAATGTGTTAATCATTGTTTAATGACAGTTTTCTAAAAGCTGAAGAATAACCTATGCTTCATTTTCAAAAATTATGAACATATTGTCTTTAATAATGGTTGAAAATAATATCCTTAACTCCTTTAATATCAGTATCCACATCACATACAGTTTTAACATACAAATTCATTATTATTTTTATCCAGAGATGATACTTTTTTTTTTACAGAGTACCCATTAATTAAGCTTATACTTTACACATATTCTCCAATTAGAATTCCTATGTCATTTCACATTTTCAAAACTAGCTGTATACATCTGACACGCAACACACCTTCCATTATAACTGGCATGTCATGAACAAACTTTAAGTGTATTTAACATAAGTGAAAATACATTGCTAGTGTGGTGGTGTGTTAATTTCCTGACAAGAATCAGATAGAATTAACCACAATAACTGCAAAATAAAGGTTTCTCAATGGAACTTTAGGCAGAGTAGACATAGTAGGTTTGAACATCATCAAGTACTGTACAAGACAAGATTGCATTCGTAATATATGCGTTATCAAAGCTGTGACATGTGGACAAGTACTGTACAAGACAAGATTGCATTCGTAATATATGCGTTATCAAAGCTGTGACATGTGGACAAGTACTGTACAAGAGAAGATTCCATTTGTAATACATGCCTTACCAAAGCTGTGACATGTGGACAAGTACTGTACAAGACAAGATTCCATTTGTAATATATGCCTTACCAAAGCTGTGACATGTAGACAAGTATTGTACAAGACAAGATTCCATTTGTAATATATGCCTTACCAAAGCTGTGACATGTAGACAAGTATTGTACAAGACAAGATTCCATTTGTAATATATGCCTTACCAAAGCTGTGACATTTGGTAAAGTATTGTAGGAGACAAGATTACATTTGTAATATATGCCTTACCAAAGCTGTGACATGTAGACAAGTATTGTACAAAAGAATATTCCATTTGTAATATATCCCTTACCAAAGCTGTGACATGTAGACAAGTACTGTACAAAAGAATATTCCATTTGTAATATATCCCTTACCAAAGCTGTGACATGTGGACAAGTACTGTACAAAAGAATATTCCATTTGTAATATATGCCTTACCAAAGCTGTGACATGTGGACAAGTACTGTACAAAAGAATATTCCATTTGTAATATATGCCTTACCAAAGCTGTGACATGTAGACAAGTATTGTACAAAAGAATATTCCATTTGTAATATATGCCTTACCAAAGCTGTGACATGTAGACAAGTATTGTACAAAAGAATATTCCATTTGTAATATATGCCTTACCAGAGCTGT